ACAGTTCTTTAGTTTGGCTTTTCTCAGCATTGCAACTCGGAGGTTAATTCCTGTCATCTGACTGCTCTCCATGGCCACTCCTTTCAGGTCGGCACCTGGAACACACACAGAAAGGAGTTCTGTGAGGAAAAACAGTCAGAAACACAGCAGCTCCACACTGGTGCTGCCTCAGAGCTGTGTGAATTGGAGAAGGACAAGGGGGTTTCGTGTTGAGATGGTCACAGACAGTGCAGCCCTTGTGGGCCCTTCTAAGGGTTGTACAAACCACAGCTGGACCTTTTCTGGGCCATAGAAATGTACAAACACAGGCTTCAGTTGGCACAGATTGACAAGGCAAAAGCTTCTTACCTTCCGAATTAGCTTTAAGGCCTGATGGGTCCTCAAAGCTGCAGCCTTTCAGGGACGCTCCCTCTGCATTGGAGTGTAACGGCGAGGCCCTTGTATAACAAGGAATAATGATGCTCCTCGTGGTGGTGTGGACAAAGAGACTTTATTTCAAACTTCCCGCTCCTTATATCCCTGTTTACCATGTGACTTCTTCAGCCAATAGAGTTATATGTGACCTGCGCATGCTCTCTCGGGCCCACTGCCCTGGCACATCCCCGGTGCCTTCAGACATGCTTCCCACATATCCCCTCTCCTAATTATTTAAGGAAGTCACAAAAACAGTGCAAAACAATAGTGTAAACAACAGTGCAAAACATTCAGAACATTGTGAACTGCCAAACTCGCAGTAACCCAGCACACTGCTTGCTTGGCTTCTTATACTTCTATTGTAAACCTTTTTAAAACTTCTTATAGTCCTATAGGGTAGTGCAACTTTATTTTACTTTATTAACTTATAAATATATAACTTATTAACTTATAAATATATAACTTATTAACTTATAAATATATAACTTATAACTATAGGGTAGTGCAACTTAATTTTACTTTATTAACTTAGGGCCTTAGCCCAATTGTGTGTAAACTATAACTTTTATTAACCTGAGGGTTTTTTAATAACTGGGGATTTCAAACTTTATTTAAGAAACAGGGTAAGTATAGCAAAAACTCAATTCTCTTAAGGTGACCTTGTGGTGTAGGTAATGTGGTTTTGTGAGGTGTTCTGTGTTTTTATATTTGTCCAGTCACACAATTCTTTTATTCATTCACACATCTCACTCACTGACGGCCGTCATCATTCACACACACACATACACACACCGATATTTGTAGATTGCTTGTTACCACATTGGTCATTAATATAAACTGAAACATAACATAACTCTTTTTAAACTCCTGCGTTATCTGGTTCTTGCAGCTGTGATTGTGTACCTTAATAGGGCTTTACACACCTGGAGGGAATCCACTTCAGTTCTTTTCCTGTTGCCACGCAAGCGTAACCTCTCCACCAAGTCATAAGATCTAAAGGTCCTGTCCATTGTCCCGAGATCAAATCTTTTACCATGACTAGTGGCCTGGGAGAGGCAAACGCCTGAGATTTGTGCTGCTTCTCATACCTACTTCTTTCAGCACCGTCACAATTTAAAAAATTGATCACATATGTGGCTTTCCACAAACGTTCTTGCGGACTACATAGCTTCTCCCCCCTTTTTGTTTTACTAACATCTCTTTCAGTGTGCGGTGTGCCCTTTCTACAATTGCTTGTCCAGTAGGCGAGTGTGGGATTCCTGTGATATGTGAGATTCCCCATTCTGATAGGAAATTCCTTACCTTTTCAGAGAGGTATGCTGGTCCGTTATCACTTTTGATCTGTTTTGGAGTGCCAAGGGTAGCAAAACAGCTTAGCCAGTGTCTTATTACATCCTTGGTTTTCTCACCTGTGTGTGCTGTAGCAGTTATGTATTGTGAATGTGTGTCTACGGTTACATGTACATATTTTAAGGTGCCAAATTCAGGGATGTGTGTAACATCTGTTTGCCAGATCTCATTGGATATTAACCCTCTGGGTTTAACACCCTCCTGAGATGGCATGGGGGTTATTTTTTGACAATCTGGACAAGTTAATATGATGTCTCGAGCCTGATTGATTGTTATTTTGAATTGTCTCTTTAAAGAGCGTGCATTCTGGTGAAAAAATGAATGGGATAATTTTGCTTGCTCAAGGGTCCTGGGTACTGTGTTGAACATTGCTGCTTTGTCAGCTTCCCGGTTCCCTTCAGCTATTGGCCCTGGCATGTCAGTATGAGACCTGGTGTGCATTATGTAAAAATCAAACTCCCTGTGATTGACAAGAACCCAAATAGAACACATTTCAAACAACAAATGAGGGTTAGAAACATCCCGAAGAAATGAACATTCCAGGCGTGAAACTAACCCTGCAGCATAACAAGAATCAGTGACAATATTAACTGGTTGTTCAGAAAACTTTCCCAAGGCAATACGAATGGCAGCTAGTTCCAGAACCTGCACAGAGCATTGGTTCATGGTCTGTACCTCCCGTTCTCATTGTCCTGTATCAGGATTTATCCAAGTCACTGCAGTCTTTTGTGTTCGCCCAGATGCATCTGTAAAGACTGTGAGGCCTTTTACGGGCTCAGTTTTATATCTGGTTGTGGCCTTTAAAGGTAAATTGCTGATTTCTGCCCAAAGTCTGTGCTTAGGGAGATTAACTGAGATGTCACCATCAAAACCTGCTAAGGCAACTTGGAACTCGGCATCCTCAGCCAGCATCCAATCCAAATTGTCCTTCGTGGCTGGAATGTAGATGACAGTTGGATCCCTTCCGTCCAGTTCCTGTAGTCTTTCTCTGCCTTTAATAACAAGCTTAGCAAACATTTCATTAATCATCCATACAGTTTTAGATGGTGTGTGGGGCAGAAATAGCCATTCTAGAACCAACAGTGGGTCTTTTTCAGTCTGGTCCCACTGAAACAAGATTGCAAATGGCTGGTACCTGTTGGGAACTAAGGCCAGGCAGATTTGCAGTTCAGGATCTCTCCTTCTGCCTTGCCTAGTTTCTATCGCCTTGGCACAAATGTCTAACGCCTGTTTGGTCTCTGTTGTCAGAGCCCTGTTAGACGTTAGGTCAGAGTCCCCCTTTAGTAACACAAAGAGAGGGTGTAGCTCCTCTGTGGTTAAGCCCAGAATAGGCCTTAACCAATTAATAGCTCCCAGGAGTTTTTGCAACTCATGTAAGGTTAGGGTGTCTTTTACCTCGAGTTGCAGCGGCTGTGGGGAAATCTGTTGCTGCGTGATTCTCCATCCAAGATAAGTCCAGGGCTGCGATCGCTGGATTTTCTCTGGAGCAACCTGCAACCCTGCTTCTTGGACAGCATCAGTCAGAGCAGTAACAACAATTTGCAGTTCATTTTCTGTGGCCATGCTAATTAAAATGTCATTCATGTAGTGGTAGATTATTGCAGAAGGAAAACGCTTTCTGATGGGCTGAATAGCGTTTGCCACAACTGTTTGACATATGGTAGGACTATTCCTCATCCCCTGAGGAAGGACAACCCAGTGATACCTTTGCATAGGCTGTGAGTTGTTCAGTGCCAGGATGGAAAATGCAAATCTCGGTGCATCCTCGGGGTGCAGAAAGATGGTAAAAAAGCAGTCCTTTAAATCAATTATTGTTAGTGGCCAATTTGCTGGAAGCATAGCAGGTGAGGGTAACCTTGGTTGCAATGCCCCCATCGGCTCAATGACTGACTTTACTGCTCTGAGGTCCTGCAGCATCCTGTATTTGCCAGTCTTTTTGGGGATGCAAAATACAGGAGTATTCCAGGGACTGTTTGTTGGCACAATGTGTCCTGCTTCTAATTGCTCCTTTACAAGCTTTTTTTAAATGTTCAAGCCGTTCCCTTTTCATAGACCATTGATCCACCCAGACTGGTTGGTCACTTTTCCAGACTAGCTTAATAGGTGCTTGGGACGGCTGACCAATGGCCCTTATTGAAAAACCTGGCTGCTTGCAGGAGGTATTTGCATGACTGTGCCAAATTGTGAAAGTATGTCCTGTCCCCACAAGGAGCAAGGGATTGGAGCTATGAATGGAGCTACCTTTGCTAATTGTCTCTCTGGTCCCAAGACAGTGAGTATTTGAGCACTCTGTCTGGGCCTTTGTGTACCTCCCACCCCCTGAATGGTTGCAGCTGGGCAAACAGTAGGCCAGTCAAGTGGCCACTCGGAGTCTTTTATGATGGAAACATCAGCTCCGGAATCCAAAAGGCCTGTAAATCTGCGCCCATTAACTTTGCACATCATGAAAGGCTGTGTGGCAGTGATGGCTGTTGCCCAGTAAACCTGTGGGTGTCCTGTGCTGCCAAAGGCCCCTGAACCCCGCTCCCTCCCCCCCTCCCCTGCAGGCGACGCACTGTAGAAGGGGATTAATTGAGCAATCTTCTGTCCTTTTGGGATGAAACAGGGGGGTGAAGGGGTCCATGCCATTATTAGAATCTCGCTATGAGAATCTGAATCTATTACACCCAGCAGCACAAACAAACCCATTCTGGTGGTGGAGGATCTTCCAATCAGCAGTGCATACACCCCTGGACTAAGGGGACCCCAACGTCCAGTTGGGATTAGCACTACCTCGGTGGAAGTTATGAAGACTGTGTCCCTGTTGGATAAGTCCAGCCCAGCGCTGGCTGTGGTGTAGGGGCACAGATTGCTGGTTGTTGTGGGGGGGCACAAATCGCCAGCCTGTTCCCTTGTGTCGCATGTGTTTGCTGTATTGGGGCGTGCGACAGTGCCCCTCTCCTCCAGTTTTTTGGCACCCTCCTCGCTTTTGGGTGCTTGCGGGGTGCCACTACTAGGGGTTTCTGAGGGCAATCCCTTTGGAAGTGGTCGGGGGCCCCACAAATGTAGCAACCATTCCTGGGTCTGGCCCCCTGCTGTGTCCTTAATTGAGCATTCAGTGCTGCTGCCAGTAAATCTGTTTGATGTGTCAAAGAACCAACCCCTTGGCAGGTACGAACTAATTCTGAGATGCTACGAGTTTCCCTTTTAGGAAGGGTTTGGAGAACTCTTTTACAATCAACGTTAGCGTTTTCGAAAGCCAATCTTCTGCTAAGAATTTCTTTGGTTTCCTCGTTCTCAATCTGCCTATCTAGGGCAGATTGCAGCCGATCTAGGAACTGTGTGTAAGGTTCTGTTGGGCCCTGCATTACCTTTGTGAATGACAGATTTGTGTCCTTGTCTGATGTGGGTAGTTTTCTCATTGCCCGCATGGCATGTTTTGCTATGACTTCATATATTTCTCTATTGTACCCGGTTTGTGTATTTATGGAATGGTAGTTACCCTCCCCTGTGAGTTGGTGAGTTGTTACCCCTGCTTGTGGGTCATTAGCATAAGCGGAACAGATTTCTCAGAAATCGTTCAGCCATACATTATACTGTGTGTTAGTGAGGTTTATTTTCAACAGGGTTCTCCAATCATGTGGCATGAAGATGTATGTGGAGCTCAGTGTTTCTAAACATGCAAGTGTGTTAGGGGAAGATACACCAATTTCTCTTATCAACTGTCTCAGTTCTTTGGTTAGTTCATGTGGCAATGGCTGGAACCTGCAGCTTTGGCGTGGCCCAATAATTACTGGACATGCTTGTATAACTTGTAAGTCCCCAATTCGTAATACCTCTTCTCTGCACAAAGCCCATCTATCGATCGAACCCTCTCGGTATGTTGCTTCCTCCCCTCCCGGTAAAGCTATTCCGAAATCCCCCTCCTCCTCCCCCCCCTCTTCCCCCTCTGCAGCTTCGGCGAAAGTGGTTGCCTGTGGGTGGGTGGTACGGCGCGGGGGCGGGGAAGGACGGGTTGTTGTCCGTTCTGCGTGGCGGGCGAGATGGCGGTGCCCGCCCCTGGGCGCGTGGTCGGCGTTCATCCGTGGGATGGGTTGGCACGTACACTGGGCTAGCCCCCCCATCGCCATTACGGGGCCCCCTGTTGTGATTCCACAGGCTGGAATCTCGTATCTCAGGCCCCGTCCCCTCCCGCCGACCCGTGTCCCTTGGGCTCCCGGTTCCCTTCCCCGAAGTGGAATTGTGAACGGCTCCACCCCCTCCTCCCGCCGAGCTTTGTGTGTTTAAACTGCAGCGCGTAAGAGTTGGATTGCTGCTTGCAGCGTGAGTGGGGGTGTGTGTGTTTGTTGTTCTTTGGTGGGCTCTGCTTAATGCAGTCATTATAGCTTGCCAGGCTGGGTAAGCATTGTTTGCTTGGGAGTCTCCTCCCTGAGCCTTGAGTTTGATGAGGTTCCCTATTTTGTCCCAAATTTGTATGTGGAGGGCTTCAACCAGAGGCAGTTCTGGTACAGCTGCTTTAATGAGTCGTACCAACTCTGTTAATTCAGCCCTTGTAACCTGTACATAATAAGGTTTCAGCAGTGTAGCTAATGCGTCTGTGTCCTGTGAGAGTTCGGTGGGGAAAAAGTTTCCCATTTTACCTTTGAGTCTCGGCGCTGCTAGCGTGCGCTGCTGAAGAGGGTCTGTCGGTTTGTTGATTTGTGTTGGTTCTCTGTCGGCTGGGCTGTGGTGTCCCGTTGGCAGCGGCTGGTGTCCCGGTGCAGGCGGCGAGCGGCTGCGCTGGTGGCGGCAGGCACGGGGCAGCTGTAGCGACGGGCGCGGGGCTGGCTGCAGAAGCGGCAGCTTGGGGTTGCAGGCAGTCGGCGTGTGCGGGCTGCTGAAGTGGCGAACGGCGGCGGCGCTGGCGTCGTCGTCTCAGTCACGCGGCGGCGGCTCGGCGCGGGTCCGGCTCCGTCTCCGGCGAGCACGGCGTTCGCGGTGGTGGCGGTTCGGCGCGGCAGCGGCGGCTCCGGGGCTCCCGCAGTTCGCTGGGTGGTGCGGGGGTCAGGGCGCGCTGTATCAGGGAGGCGCGGCGCGGCGCCTTCGGTAAAGTCCCACGCGGTTTGAATGCGGTGCGGGGGCTTTTTTTGCGGCGGTGCTTTTAAGCACGCCCGCAGGGTCAGTCAGCAGCGGTGAGCAGGCGGGGAGCCGCGGCAATTTCTGCTGGACAGAAAACTGAAGCAGGGTTCCGCGGGGGTCAGCGGTGGCTGGGGGTGTTAAGATGCGGCAGCGGCAAAACCGCTTCTCGCACGTGGTCCGGCCGGTGCTCTCGGCAGCGGCAAGGCCGCTTTTACCAGATTGGCCGACGCACGGGGACCAAAAAGCTTTTCCCTGACAATCTTAAGGTGCTCTGCGGCCCGGGTCTCCGAGCTGCAGGCACGCTCTCGCCCAGGGAGCAGTCTTAGGTGTGCGGAATGCCTCCCAGTTGGACTCACTGCTTTTGATGTTGTGCGGACCCTCTGCTCTTTCCGGTTGCTGCTTGACCTCTCGGTTTCTTCAACTTCTATCTTCTCTTCTCCTATCGTTCACTTTCCTATAATTTTTGGAGATCCTAAACTAAACTTTCCATTTCTCAGATGCCACTGAGACCACGGCTTTACTGACGTCAAGGTTTTTTGAGGTAAAGGCTCCCGTCTCCGAGAATTGAGACGATCCTGGAGCCACCGGCTGATTTCCTGATTCAGGATAAATATCTGGCTTAATATAAGCTAAAAGAGTCCAGGGTAATTGGTTTAATATAAGCTAAAATGTCCTATTCAGTGCGCCATGTGTAACGGCGAGGTCCTTGTATAACAAGGAATAATGATGCTCCTCGTGGTGGTGTGGACAGAGACTTTATTTCAAACTTCCCGCTCCTTATATCCCTGTTTACCATGTGACTTCTTCAGCCAATAGAGTTATATGTGACCTGCGCATGCTCTCTCGGGCCCACTGCCCTGGCACATCCCTGGTGCCTTCAGACATGCTTCCCACATTGGAGCGCAGCATCTTCACCCCTGGCTGGTTGGCACACTGGCACAGACAGGAGTCAGTGAGAGTCGGAAGAACAACACCAAAGACAATCAAGAAGACAGTTTTAATTTCTGCTTTGGGAGTGAATCCCATTAAATCATTACTGTGAGGAAGTGTAAAAGCTTTGGGAACCAGAACAACTCTAGAATATATTTAAGAACTCGATGTTTTACACCGCTCTGTTTGTTCCAGCTCCTCTTTGTTAACACAAGCCCAGACCTCCCAAGCTGCAGCAGCTCTTCCATTCAGCACAGAGCCTGACAGGTCAGCCCTCTCCAGGCTGGCACAGCACAAGTTGGCATGGGCCAGGTTGCAGCGGCTCAGATTGGCCACCTTGAAGTTGATGTAGCAAAGATCCAGGTGGGAAAGATCCGCTCCACTGAAACTGAGACCCTGGAAATCCCAAGGAATAAACCCCCCAAAAAGGTTACAGAGGGGAAGGGGTAGGTCTGGACACAAAGGTAACATAATTGTGTAGACAGGTGTGCATTAATATTTACAGTGTGTAAATATCTATGTATAAATATATGGATAAAAATGTATTAAAATATATACTGTCTATAAATATAGACAGATACAAGATAGATACAGACACACAGAGGTCCTGGGAAAAGCTGGAGACACCCCACCACAGAAGGGGGCTTATAAAAAGGAGGGAGAGGGACTTTTTATATGGGCCTGGAGGGACAGGACAAGGGGCAATGGTTTTTAAACTGAAAGAGGGCAGGGTTAGATGGGAGACTGGGAAGAAATCCTTCCCTGGGAGGGTGGGGAGGGGTAGGGATGGAATTCCCAGAGAAGCTGTGGCTGCCCTTGGATCCCTGTAAGTGTTCAATGACAGGTTGTATCAACCTGCTCTAGTGGAAGGTGTCCCTGCCCATGGCAGGGGGTGGAATGAGAAGACCTTTAAGGTCCCTTCCAACCTAAACCATTCCAATATTCTATACAGATAAATACACACAAGACCATTTATTCTACTACTTAAGACTAATGAAATATAAATGCAAAGCTCTCAAAAATTGTCCTTGGTTCATTTTACATTTAAACAAATTGCTCCTCCAGGAAAGCTTCCCCCTGTTGCGACGAGGGGAAGAGAGGGACGCTCAATATGAGAATCAGCAAACTTCGTTTATTGATCACTGCTAACAGCTTAATATACGCTTTATAATTAACTCATACATATTGCAAAAGCTAAGTTCATTATTGGTTCTTGCTTAAATGTTGATTTCACTTTTACTCCCTTCTTTTGTTGACACAGGTGGCTCTTAGTTGCTTTTGTTTTGCTAATCACAATGTCCTGTTTACCAGCCAACTAGCAGGCACAAAAACACTGTAGCCTTACCATGGCCTTGCTATCTCAGATCTTCTCACAGGCCTAGACAGGCCCTGTTCTATACTCTAACAGCTCATCCATAGCTTTAGCTATATCCATATGTCCTTGTCTTGCTAACAAATCCTCTACAATACCCCCGTTTTTATTTGAGGCCAACAATACTTTCTCTGTCATAGCATTTACACGTTTAACAATACAAGAAAAAGCAACACGAACTATTACTAAAATTACAACAATTGTCAATAACCATCGTAGGCCTTCTTTAACAAAACTTAAAACCCATTCAGACATAGAACCAAAAATAGATTGAAGCCACGAGTCTATAGGACTAGTTGCTACTGTGTCACCACAAATAAGAAACACACCTGGTGGAAAAGTGCGTGCAGTGTTGTTAACCCAAATGCCTGGAGAGGAAGGCCTTGCTTCAGCTCCATATGCCCCAAGGCCTTGGTTGTCACTATTATTAGTACCACAATAGTCTCCTGTATTTTTGTAATTAAACCCTGGGGTATGTGAAGTGACATTAGTCCAGCTGGACAAGTCGTGGCTTTGATAAACACTTAACCCAGATTGAAATAATCCCAACATAAAACAGGTTTGAGTCCCATTATCACTTGTGTTACGTACAGGCAGCGATCCCATTAAATCTAACTCTTGGGGATCCCAGGGCAAAGAGGTGTTGAGAGCCTTTATAAGGCAGGCAGATGCATTAGAAATAACTGTTTCACTCCCACACGACGATGAAACCCAATCAGTAAACACTAAGTTCAACTTGTATACTGAACTAAAAGGCATGCCAAATAAACAAGTGCGAAAAGGATCTGAGGCAGATGCTAAAGACAAACAAAAGGACGATTGACCTGTTTGATTTGCCCAAGTAACCCACATGTTTTTCTGAGGATCAATGGTGTGAAGAGTTTTAACACTGGCAATCATGCCCATGAAAAAGAATACTAATTACACAGCCATTCCCAATTTTGCGGGAACACAATCCAATGATAGGGAATCCTAACATCTTTGCCACACTAATATGCAAAAACAGTTGATGGAGACTGGGCGAGTATCCTCGTGCTGTTATACAGCACCTCCCACCGTTCCAATGCAATTTAATGCTGTTCTACTGTTTCACCCAGGCTCTACAGTTCTTTTGTGTACAGGCTAGGCAGTTTGTGCCAGCTGGGCCCTTCCAAGTGCCCACTCTGCCTTTACCTCACAGGCCCCACCGGGAAGCTGAAGCCCAACTTCCATCTCCGCAACATAGTGGAGAACCTTTTGGATGCTTCTGTTCATCAAGGGAAGGAAAAGCAGAAAATGCAATGCAAAGAGAAGGAGGAAAGTTTGGGGCAGCAAGCAGAGGTGATCCTGTCAGGAGCTCCATCCGGCCATGAAGACTTGCCTGACCTGCAAGGTTTCTCTGTGCCAAGCCCACCTGAGCAAGCACAGCACAAAGAACACTCAGAAAAACTACGTCCTGGTGGAGCTCTGTGGTGCCCAGGTTTTGGCTGAGAGGAAATGCCCCCAGCACAGCAAATTGCTGGAATGCTACTGCAAGAAGGACAAGGTCTGCACTTGCATGCTATGCTCTGCCCTCAGCTCCCACAGGGACCACAAGACCATCAGTTTAGAGGAGGCCTCTGGCCAAGCACAGCGTGCCTTTCTCGAAACTCTAAAAGAGGTGAAAAACTATGAAGCTGCACTGGATCGAAGCATAGGAAACCTGCTGGAACAATGCTCTGTAAAGGAGTTCTTTAGAGTACAAACAACGCTTGACTAACCATGACTACACCAAGCCCTCTGAGATCATGCAACAGTTTTCATTTCACAGATTTTTTTTGTTTTCTTTATCACAAAGACAGGGGTAATTAAAGGATTCTGAGATGGTTCAATGTAATCAGCATCACAACCCTAACCCTTGGAATGACTACAGAATGACTACAGAAGTTTGCTTGTTTGGACAATTAACAGCAAGCTTTGAGCATCACAAAGAGTACAGGTTGCCTTCGCACAACCCTAAACATTCACTAGTCAAATTATGCAAGCAATGCCTCTGGTATGAAACAAGGAGTAATCACAATTAGTGAGGCTATTTTGCTGAGAACACAGCTGCAATGGGTAGGGCATGTTTTAAGGAGGAGAGACTAGCCCTTTTACAATGAATATTGCTACCGGCTGTTGCATGGGAGGGGTTTTGAAGACAATATATAAAGACTCTTTAAAACAACACTTCAACTCTGGTCACACTGATCAACGTAACTGGTCTGCTCTGGCCTCCAGCCAGGAGGCCTGAAGACACACTATCCACAACGCTGCAGATGCCCTTGAAAAGGCATGCAGGATGGCCTTGACAGTCTGCAAGGGCCCCCCTGCAACGAGCTGAACAAGCAAGGCAGCAACATTGACAACTCCTGATTTAAATCCTGGAAAACACAGAAAAGCTCAAAATGACCCTCACTACTACCATAGCAGATGCAAATGCAATTATTTGATGGTCTAAGGACCCCACCCCGGCACAAGCCTGCATTATCTCTAGCTAGTTATGTAACTAGCAGCTTCTGTAACTGTCACAAAACTTGTTTCTCTACAGCGTCTTGCAGCTTTTCCACGAATTGTAAGAATGGTTCCCGGGCACCTGGATGCATAGTGGTGCACCTTGCTCTGGGCTCTGCTAACCTTGCAGTCTGCACTAATGTTTACTGGCTTATGGTTTTTACTCGCTCTAAAACTAGTGGTCTCCTGTGCAGCTCGCACAGCTAAGGAACAACAGCAGTGGAAAAACTCCACCTGAGACTTAACTTGCATAAATTTCATACAAGGCTGTAATAGAATACCAAATTTTTGTAAGAATCTCTTATTTAACTTCAGTCTTAACACCTTGTTAAAATCTCGACACCGACGGAAAGTATTTTTAAGTTTACACAGTTACACATTCATGTAGCTTTTCTCTTTCACACAATCTTTTTCCATACACTCTTAGGTGGCCACCTCAGACATCCATCATTCACACACACATTTTCAAGTAGTCATTGGCTGTGCGCTTCTTATCAGTTTCATAATTCAAAGGAAATTTATGGCATAGCCGCCAACAGCAATCTGCAAATCCTGCATAACTCTCTATGTAAAAGACAAATGCAGCAAGAAAGAACAGGATATTATCTTGGAAATTTTCAACCCTTCTTATAGAGCAATGATATTCTGTCATAAAGGCAATAAAACTACTTCTGCAGGGGGCAGAACTATATCCCCTTTTGTCTCATCATTCCCTCTGCAAACCTTCTACCCGCACTCTGCCCTCGGGGGAAACAGCCAAATTTCATGTAAGAGAAGCAAAATGGCAAACTATAGGAAATTCCTAACAACTTTCTGCAATATATAAAAAGCTAAGCACGGATGTTGCGTTATTTCTAATCTTACTTCAAGGGATTTTTCGTCAGTCTCCCTTTCTGTTTTTGAAGAAAACGTTTGAGAATGCCATGAGCACGCTGCATGCGTAACACCTATTGCTGTAAAAACAGTGCAATCTTATTTGATTTGTAAGTTGGGGTATTGTTAATTTTAAGTTGTTTTTTCCCTTTTCCCTTTTTACCATGCTTTACCGTCTTTGCCTCCCCCACGCCCCTCATTGCCGAAGGACGAAGGAGGAGGGGCCAGGCTCACCCAGAGAAAATCAGCAGAAGGAACTTAACTTAATCACAGGGTCTGCTTAAGAAAAGACAAAAACATAGGAGAGGGAGAAAACAGCTGCAAACAGGCACGTTGCAGAGAGGGGGTGATTGGTGTAACGAGGAAAAAAGAGAAACAGCTTCCCCCCCTCCCCCGACTGCACCTCCCGAAGCCTTTGCTACCGTCATTAACTCGCCACTCTAAGAAGAGGAGCGGCACCAGGGAAAAAACATTCGCTATAAAGAAGGGGAAGGGAACCTACACCTCTTGGGACCATGGCTGTCAGCAGTGCGGGGGATACAGAGCCCCCCCGCCGCCCGCCGCGCCCAGGGCCGCCGGCGTGCACGCGCGCGGGCGCACCGCTCCAAGCTGGGGCCACGCACGGCGCCGCGACCACCGCCACTGCCCCGCCGCCCGGCACCGCCCCGTAGGCACCCGCCACAGGCGGACAGACCCGGCGCCGCCCCGGGTTCACTCAGCACGGCGGCGCAAGCACCCAGAACCGTGAACACAGCCACAAATGCGCGGCGCAGTCCCGCAGCACAGTTCAGATGAAAAGCTGGAAATGTCTTAAGGTGGAACTCAGTCATAGTGTTCGTAAAGTTCATCCCCGGTCCATCAGCAGTACTTTCACGCCGCAGCCGTCGTCCCCGATCGTCCTGGATATGCACTGCTGAGACGCTAGCACCGCTTTCATTTTGACGGGGCCGCTCGGTTGTCCCCGGCCCCGCTCCGTGATCTCTGGTTCCGCTCTGGCTCCCTTCAACTCCGCTCAACTCCCTTTTTTCACGATTTCTCCGTATGATGGTATCTAGTAGCATTCTAATGTCCTCAAACTGTGCTTTAATGTCTTTTACTGTTCCAGATAACAATTGCCAAGTTGTAAGGAGGGAAGCAGCAACCTTTTCTCCCTTAGAGTCAGTAGTAAAGAGCTTATCACTAGGTTCTTTCCAAGTAGAGAGAGTAAAGGCAGTTACAGGGTTCGCTTCAAATCCCTGGCCCTTACACGAAAGCAGCATCTGTCGCAAAGCCAGTTCATCTAATTTTTCTCTTTTTTAAGCAGGATAGACTTGTTCTCGGTGGCTCACCTGTCCAGGTGTCTTGTCTGGACAGCCTGGCAGCTTCTCCACTGCTCTCATGCTACACCGAGCTCCGTCCCCGCGGCAACCTCCCATAACTTATCCCTATAACGTCTCCATTCTCCTTCATCAAAAACTGTATTAGGGTCCACAAAACAACCTTTAGCAATCCCGCCACAATATACGCTTAATATACGCTTTATAATTAACTCATACATATTGCAAAAGCTAAGCTCATTATTGGTTCTTGCTTAAATGTTGATTTCATCCCCCTAAAGCAGGAATGCAGCCCAAACCACCCTGAAATTCCAAGTCACTGTGCCACAGCTCAGAATCAAAACTCAGTTCAAGAGAACACATTGCATTTCACGTTGCCACATTCCAGCACCAGACAGCAACGCGCCAGAGAGGGACAGCACAAGGAGAAGTGGTTTTAATATAGAAGAGGGAGGTTTAGATGAGATATTGGGAAGAAATTCCCAGAATTTTGTTAGAAAGACAAATGTGTTCTCACCTGACAGCGCAACTCGGACTTGGGGGTTTGTTGCCAGCAGGAACCGGACAAACTCCTTCTGAGAGGTGGGAGAGTGATCCTCAGCTGGCTGGGAATTCTGTTGGGAATGTTGTTCAACAGCTGACACAGACAGCACTAAATTACACATCCCCTGCAAGAGCAGGGCAGGTGCATTCAGGTCTTCAGACAAATTACCTTCATGGCTATTTCCAGGTGTTTGATTAGCGAATCAATACCAAAAAACCTGGCTTCCTGCAGGACACCTGGAAACAGAGTTTGTTATTTCCAGGGAACTGTTAATCCAGAAATCACCCTTCTCCCTACTGGAGAACAACCACAGACATATTAGATGTAACTGGGCAGAGGAAAAGCTTGCTTGCAGCTAAAAGGAAAAAATCACTCAGCTTGCAACACCAGCATTGGGTTAAAGGTATCAGCTCCAGAATTCCAGCCAAACATGAATCCAGGATGGACAACTTTTAATGCTCCCATGATAAACAAAGAGCCTGTCTTCATTAAATCAAGCAATCTTCATTTAATGAAGTAATCTTCATTAAATCAAGCAATGTGGAGCTGCAATGCTCGAGAATAAATCCCAAGGAAATAAACTCCAAAGAAAACCACAGAGATGAGCACACAAAGGTCCCTCTGGCTTCACCTGGAGGGCAAAGCTTAACTCCCAAAGAGGAATAATTCAGATGTCAGACAGGTAACACCTACCTAGCAAATTAATGCCATCATTTACAATGAGCTGTCCGTGACGTAAATAGTTCAAAATGGACTCAAAATACTCAAGACTGCGGTCAATTAGGAATGCTCCTCTATGATCCTGCTTGTTCCCCCAAGCATCTGTTTCCACAACATATATATATATAATTAAATAGGATATATTAATATATAGAATTAAATTTGATATATTAATAGAAGAGCATTTGCTTCACTTGCAGAGTTTTATTACCAAAGGCGGCGGGATGTGAAAATTCCACATGTGAAAGGGTGTTTTGTAAATAAAGGAAAAGAGGAGTGTGTGAGAGGAAAATCACCTTAAAATGAACTTAGTTGCTGCTCTAAATAAATAAAATATTTTATCAAATACTGTCGCGGTCCGAAAGGGGGACAGGACACCAGAAAGAGTGCAAGCAGACTTGTTTATTCAGGCGTGCGCCCGATTCTTCACCGTCCCGCCAGGGAAAAAGGGGCAGAACATAGGGTGGGCTATCAGACAGACAAACAGGGGAGCAAATCAGAACAGGGCACAGGCAAAAGGGGGAGGAGTGGGGGAAGCAGGGAGCAGGCAATCTCATGGCAGGCCTGGGCATGTGCAGTTGTGCACTGAGCAGCATGAATACAATGAAACCACACAGTAACAGCAACGTCCATATGAAAGTCCTGCCAATTGCTGCATGCTTTTCTCCATCCTGAATTGTGTTCCGTCACATCTCACTCATTCTCTTGAAGCACGGTTAGAAAATATCTGTTTTGATAGTCCTCTTACAGCTCGCTGTGACATAAGAAATAGTTAGTAACAATACAAACAGAGAAAGCAAAATTTCAAAGCAAGTTAGAAAGGGTTTGTTTAAATGGACTTGGGGGAGGACTGATCTGCATCTTCCCAATCAGTTTGGACAGCTGCATTTGCTGAGTGACTCCCCCCCTAAAAATTATTTCCAGCCCGAGATGCTACAGCTCCATGGTATCTCTATGGACTACGAGATCCTGGAAAATAAACAGAACACATTAGAAGAGAGAATTTAGGATTGGAATCACATGGTAAGGGCATAACTTGCATAATCGGTTCATCTGAGTTAAGCTGAACTGCAGGGATTGCTGTGGTTTCCTGGCACTTGCTGAAGGGATGGGCTACGCAGGATGGAACGCGGTTGAGGGGGTGCTGCCTTGTTTCTTGACAGTTCACAGGTGCACTGTTTAAGATCTGGCATTGAATTAAAAGTCACTTTTCTTCTCAAGTCTGGTGACTTTTTCGGAGGTAGTAGTTCTCCATAGATGTTAGTAAGAGACCTGCAATTTTTTGTCCAGTGTCTGCCTTTTCCATACTGTTTGCACGGCGTCTTTGGAAGCTCCATCTTTGTAATTAATTGTGGACAGTTCTTTTTTATATGTCCTGTCTCACCACAGTGAAAACAGGTTTGTGGTCCAGCCAAAGCTTCAGCTATTAGTCTTGCTTTATGAGAATTAGACCCCACATTACGACATGCCTTGACCATGTCCATAGGAGTAGGATCCCTAAGAGTTCTTAGTATTTGCTGGCAATCATCATTAGATTGCTCTATAGCCAACCTTAAAAATAGTGCATCCTGAGCTTCTGGGTGTTTAACTTGTTTTGCAATTGCTTTCTTCAGCCTTTCTGCAAAGTCTATGAATGGTTCTGTTGGTTTTTGTTGTACTTGTGTGTATGAAGGTGTAGGTTCAGCAGCCTCAGCAATGGTTTGAATAGCTTGGAAGGCTAGATTTTTTGAAATGTCCAATTCATTCATAGGAATCTTGGTTTGGGTCTCATTGGAAATATATGGATCCACTCCGAACAGTCTATTAAAGGTCTCCAGGACTGGGGTCCCTGTGATTGCTGAGGTTTGCTGGGCATGCTGGTGAATATGAGTTTGCCATTCATCTAGGAAAAGCGTTGCTTGCATATTAGTGAAGAAAGCACTTATTAAATCTTTTATGTCGTTTGGAGTGATCGTGTAAGCAGCAAAAAGTGAACCAAGTACCCTTATTACATAAGGTGAATTTAACCCGTAGTCAGTAATAGCTTGTTTTGTATCTTTCAGAACTGGGAGAGGGATTGGTTCCCAGACAGGGTGATTGTTGGGATGATAAAACACGGGGAATGCTTTAACCAAATTCAAATCATCAGCTGTTGATGCTTGTTCCTTTATGTAAGTCCATCTGCTCCTCTGGGCACTGGCGGGGCAGGGACAAATACATTCGCAGGGTGGTGGTACTGAAGGGGTTAAAGTGCCAGCTGCTGGCGCGGTTGGATAAGCAGCGCTGCCGTGGGGAGGGGGGCTGCCGGGGGCCGTGCCGTGCGCGGGGGCCGGCGCCGATGGCGGCGGGCTCAGGGGGCGGTGGGGACACGGTGCCGGTCGAGCTTCCACGAGCAGGCTGGGAGGCGTTGCCGGCTAAGCTTCCACGGGCGGGCTGGGAGGCGGTGCCGGCGGGAGAGGCGCGAAATCCTTGCATGCCGTTTCTCCACGCTGCGTGTGCTACCGCATTCGCTCCCTGGCTTCGCCCGCGCGGTCGCTTAGCTCGCCGACGCCATGATGCAAGAACCGCTGGTATTCTGGGCTTTGTTTCTCCCTCCCGCCATCCACGCTCTCCCCCGCCCCCCCGCCGCTCCGGGACCCTCGGGGCTTGCCGCTCTCAGGGGATTTAGACTTGGATTTTTGCTCCGATTCTTGGAGATTTTCATTGGAACTGGTTATTTGGTGTTGCAGCACCATCAAAATCAATCTCCAAGCAATTAGTGCTTCGGCTGCGTTTTTGTCTCCTCTATCCTTTTGTTTCCATATCTGATGTCCAATTTTTTCCCAGTCCTGTATTTTTAAATCGTCCGAGACCACTTCGCTGCGGTTTTCTAGCCATTTTGCAAGTGATTTCGCAGACTTTTTATCTAAGGGGTGTCCATGTTCAATAATAAAGTCTTTTAGCTTGCTGTATACAAATTTTTGAGGGGTTGATAACCAGAGGCCCATTGCGAAATTACTTAGGCTTCTGTTAGTCTGCAGTTGGTTTTAAAGTTGATTTTGTGAGGGTGGGAGATGGGTGAGGGATCAGGAGCTTCCCCGGTGCTCACCTTTTTCGGTGCGAGGGCCGTATGCCGCAAACTGGAGTTCACCGGGAAGGACCAGCGGGACGGAAACGCCTCTCTCTGCGCCGTCCAAGCCTTCGTGGCGTGGGAGAGGTTTTCTTAAGGCAAAAACCTTCTCTGCCCAACGCTGGGCGCCATCTTTCGTGGTCCGAAAGGGGGACAGGACACCAGAAAGGGTGCAAGCAGACTTGTTTACTCAGGCGTGCGCCCGATTCTTCACCGTCCCGCCAGGGAAAAAGGGGCAGAACATAGGGTGGGCTATCAGACAGACAAACAGGGGAGCAAATCAGAACAGGGCACAGGCAAAAGGGGGAGGAGTGGGGGAAGCAGGGAGCAGGCAATCTCATGGCAGGCCTGGGCATGTGCAGTTGTGCACTGCGCAGCATGAATACAATGAAACCACACAGTAACAGCAACGTCCATATGAAAGTCCTGCCAATTGCTGCATGCTTTTCTCCATCCTGAATCGTGTTCCGTCACAAAATACATAAGAATAAAAGCAGCACTAAGGTTTGAGTCTGACTGTCTCCCAAAGGCTGCCCCAGGCAGGGTTTTCTCTTGGATTCTCCTGAGGAAACTGAGCAACAATAACATGAAAACCTAAAATCAATTAAACAAACAAACAAACAGAAAAGCACCCAAAATACTAACTGTAGATGGAAGTTGTATTTTCACTTTGTGAGATGATAAACAGGTGGGTAACAGAGAAATAAAGAATTATTAAAAGAATAATTTTATGTTCTGTTTTGGTACTTTAATATACTTTTGATATTTTAGATTCTCAGCTTGACAGTGCCTTTGGCCTACTTTGCTAATTTATTACTTAAAAAAAAAAAAGTTTATTTCAATATACTCACCTTTATCTTTAAACATATGCTGTCAGGTTCTTTTTGTTAACCAAAGTGCTTCTAGAAAACAAAGGTAGTGCAATTTTATTTTTACTTCATATAAAAACTGTTTACAAGTTGATTTCTTGCAAAATTGTGGTGGTGAACACAAAATACAAAGTGTCAGAAGTCAAAGACCTCCTACTTCATAAGAAGTTATTTTTCAAGCTCTTTTGCTGCCTTGAAATCAAGTTTTTTTGAGACTAAAAGCATTTTGACCTTGTAGTGGTGAAGTACCTGCCTCCCACATTGAGTGTCAGCCAGTCTGTGTGGGACCCTGTCAGCTCCTCCTGAGCTCTCCCATCACTCTGGAACCCCCTAAAATACTCCTGGGACCCCCTTTTCGGGTCAAAACTGTCCCTTTTTGGGCTTAAATTCCCATTTTTTTCTGCCAAAAGTGCCCCTTTTTGGGTCCAAACTGCCTCTTTTTTGCCCCAAACTTCCCCTTTTTGGTCCCAAACTCCACATTTTTGGTCCAAACTCCCTTTTCTTCGTTCAGTTTTCCCCTCCAGTTCTTTTTTTTTTTAACAATTTCCCCCTTTTTTGGCCCAAATATCGATCCCAGGACCCCCCCAGGCCCCTCCAAACCACCAGATATCAATCCCAGGGCCTCCCAGACCCACCCGACCCACCCAAGCACCCCCCAAAGCCCCTCAGGGACCCCCCAAACATCCCCAGGACCCCCC